AAAATACATAAATAAAATACTTATTCACATAAAAAAAATATTTCTTTTCATTGAATAAAATTTGGGATGTTACATAAACCCTTATTTTGTTGGGCTTATCTGTTGTGTATGTGAGGTGGAATTGTGTACGTGATGTGAATTTGAATTATGATATGAGATGTTGTATGAATGTGATTATGATTGTGATTATGGTGCCTCACATCAGTGACTAGGGATGGCACGACCCCTGGGTAAGTGGTGCTACAGGGAGGGCGTGACCCTAGCATGGTGTGGGATGAGTAAGACAGTTAACACACACCACTTATGTCGATTATGGCAGCCCTGGCATAGGGTTAATTGCAAGAGACTGTATGGATTGTAATTTGATTGTGGTTCCTCACACTAAAGGATCAAGGATGATACGAACCCTGGTAGTTGATGTTTCAGGGACGAGCGTACTCCCGGATGATCAGGGATGATACGAACCCTGGGTAGGTGATGCTTCAGGGACGAGCGTACTCCTTAATGACTAGGGATGGCACGACCCCTGGGTAAGTGATGCTACAGGGAGGGCGTGACCCTGGTTTGGTGTGGGAGGCAATTAACTCGTATCACTTGTGTCAGATGTGGCGAGGTTTTGGCAGAGTGTTAATTGTAAAATTGGTGTGAATTATGAATGTGGAAATGATATTGTTAATTGTAAGATTGACATGAATTATGAATATGGAAATGATGTTGTAAATTGTATAATTGGTGTGGATTATGATGGATTGAGATATGTATGTGAAATGAGATATGTTAAATGTGAATTGAGATGTGAAGATGATGAATGATTGATATATATATATATATATATATATATTTTATTAAATAATGAATTATGATGAGATTATATTGTGATGTGTTTGTATGTACTTTGCATATAGATATTTTCTTTTCTCACCGTATAAACTGTGGATATTTTAGGTGAAGAAGATCCGGCTACGAGTGGCATCTAGAATGTCAACAGTTAAATTATGGGAATGCTCTGATAATGTGACATCGGGGCAGAGGATTTCTAGGACAGAATATTTATATGGATTTGGTATTGTAATAAATGATTTTAAAATTGTAAACTCTTAAATTTTACCTTTCAAGTTTTATTTTTCAGTCATTTTCTTATATTGAAGAAAGAACAGTTTCGAAGTTTTATGTGAACCCTTTTACGAACCCTTTGAAAGTTTATTCTTCTTAATTAAATTATATTATATATGTGTTGGGGTAGTAAGGGTGTCACATAAACCAAAAAACAAAACATAACGAGTGCAAGCAGAACGGGCCGTTCTGCTTGGAGATTCACCCAAACGCGAAGAATTTTCTACTTGATATTAACTAATATATTAACAAAGGATGATCCACCCAAACACGAAGAAGAGGATAATGTTAACTAATATATTAATAGATCAATACATACATTTATTTTCAACAAATTAGCTAATATATTAAGAAAGGATTTTCTAAACTAACCTCAAACGCGAGCCCAATACAATCGGTCAGAAACTCAAGAATCACCCAAACGCCCAAACTTACACTCAGATGCAATACACTCAAACGAAATGTTAACTCAGAAGACTCAATTTGCACATACACTCAAAGCTCTGTTGTTTAAATATTGACACGCGCGCGAAGAAATTTGAAATTTATAAATATTTTACATCGGACCTCATAGGGGCTGATGTAAATTGGAATATCTATGTCGGACACAAGCTATATCCGACGTAGATTTTCAAATTTACGTCGGCTCCTATGAGGTCCGACGTAAAAAACTTGATTATAATTACAAAAATGCCACCGTGTTTTTTTAACATTGGATTTTTCTTTGTTCGACGAGAATACAGTGACGTAAATGTCATATTTTGTACTAGTGAGGGATCTATTTATTCGAGGAGTAAGTCTACCTACACTTATTCCGTTTAATAACTCATGTTCTACATCAAATTTCAAAAATTCAATCGTTGAATTTAAAGTTTTTAATGCATAAATCAAATATATAAATTTTTGAAAAAAATTAAAAAATTATTTGATACTTTGTTTTATAAATTGAAAAACCAATTATGAAGGTTTTATGTGAACCCTTTTACCAACATTGAAAATTTTATTCTTTAGCTTATTTACATTGTTACCATATAGATGTGTTGGAGTAATAAGGGTGTCACACCAATTATACTTAAAAAGTTACATTTTTTTTATTAAAATAAATGCATTGCTTCTAAATAATTATTGACTACGTTTAGTTATTTTTATTGTTAGGTGTATTTTTCTTAAAATTAAAATTAATTTTTATCTAATATTAATTATATTAAATACCTTAAAAACTAGGTTAAACAATTGATTAAATATATATATATATATATATATATATATATAAAATTTAACACATAATTTATGGATTTAAATAATCTCATGCGAGAGTTGAATTAAGCTTGTGTTTAGTAATAATAATAAATAAAAGAAATAAGAGGAAAACAAGTGTGAAGAAGTACATCAAAATAAACAAGAAATAGAGTAGAAATAAATCTTATTTAGCAAGAGAGAAATAGAGTGAGAGTTTATTTTTTATAAATAATTTTATTTAAAATATATAATTTTATTATTATTATTATTTAATTTTTAAAATGTTATATATATATATATATATAAATGATTATATATATATATAAAAAGAAAGATTCACTTACTTTTAAATTGTAGTTATAGAAGTCATGATGAATTATAAGGAGAAAGAAAAATTCATCACTATTTACTAAAGAGAAGTCCAACCATTTTCATGCATTTCCCTTGAATTAGAGGGAAAGTTTTTAGCATGTGTATCCCATAAAAGCATACTAATTTTCTACTTCTTCTCTCGTACCAAACACATCTTTTCACTTTTCCACACTTTCTCGCCTTTTTATTTCACTTCTCTCTCCCCAAACACACCCTAAAACAAGAGAGAGAAAATTTAAACAATTAAAAAGAAGGCATAAAACATTGATGGTGAAGATTTTCACTATAGAGAATAATTCAAATAAAAATTTCATATGAGAGAGTTCATCTAATAATTCATAAATATAAAAATTAAATGATGTTTGATCAATTATATTATATTAAATATTGAATATAAATTTTCACTCAAACTATATAGTTTTTTTTATCATGACTTTGAATTTAGTGAAGGAATAAGTAGGTAACAGATAAATATGTACCAAAGCAGTACAAGGATAAGGGTTTAAGTCACTACTCATGATGATATAAGCTCCGATGCATACTTTTTTTATTTTTCAAAATGCAGATAAACTATAATACTCTGTACATTCTCATCTCTAACCATTTAGCTATAACGGCTAGGTCAAAATATCCAAATTTAATTTGTGCTTTTAAAACACTTATTTCATTCTATAATAAATTTTATTTTAGGTTATTTTACATAATTTTTTTAAAAAATTAATAAATAGATGAAAGAAAATAGTAATTGTACAAAATTAGCCTTATAATTAATCTTTTTCGCTAGAAATGGTGTAACACAAAAACTATTTTCTTCATAATATTACTAAAGATGTGAATAAAAAATAGATAATTAATACTATATAAAAACTAAAATAACACTTATTTTGAAACTTACTTTTTCTTTTGGTATGATATTTATTATAAGACGAAAGAAGTAAGATTTATGTTTCATAAAAAATCAATTTGTATAAACTTTTTTGATGTTACTCCTTGTACAAGTTAAAAAAGAATGCTCAAATTCAATTCATATTCAAAATTTAAAGTTTGAAATAATATCTTATCAAGTAAATTTAGGTCAAGTTAATTGATTAAACGATTAAAAAAAGACTAAATTATATTTTTGGTCTCTTTTATAATATTAAATTCGAAATTTTGATCTCTATTTTTAATTTTTTTTAATTTTAGTCTCTAATCTTATAAAATCTATATTTTTGATCCTCTAGTTGAATGTCTCCCATTGACAATTAAAATTTTAATAATAATCATGATTTTTTTGGTAAAGATAGAAAAGATTACAAAGATAGTCGCAATGAGTATTGAACCTAGGTCCTCATGTTTTTGACTACCCCAACCCCTCTCCACCCAACCACTAGGCTAACCCTAGTGATTATAATAATCATGATTTGACATAAAGTAAATGACTTGTAAATTAATATTTAATAATAATTATGCTAAATTTTACTTTTAATTCTCATTTTTATTTCATAAAAATGATAAAATAAAATATAAAAAATGATAAAAAAAAAGAGAGAAATAAAAGTACAAATTAACCTAAACATTATTAAGTATTAATCATTTTGTCATTTATCCAATGTTAAGTTACTATCAATATTACAATTTTAACGATCAACTAATAAACATTCATTGAAAGGAACAAAATTAAAATTTTATAAAACTAAAAAACTAGAATTACAAAATTATAAATAAAGAGAGTAAAACTACGAATTTAATATTATAAGAATATCAAGAGTACAATTAAATCTTTTAAAAAAATTGTGTCAAAAACTTGTTTCACCAAGCATTTCCCCTCAAATCCCTATCTGCGTTGAAGAAAAAAAAAACTGCATCTTATTAGAATGTCAATTTTAGAAAACATCGCCATAAATTTATTACCGGTGCTTCTGAAATAAAATAAGTGTTTACAGGAGAATAAATAAGAAAATAAAATAAATTTTCTCCCATAATTATAAGTTAAAATTAACTTATACATAAATTAATTATAAAGAATCTAATTTAATTTTCTTCGTGTACAAGTACTTTTTGATAAGTTTATCAAATAGGATGAAAATTAAGTTTGTAACACCTAGTTTACCAAAACCCAAGTTTAGATAAAGCTTTACACGTACTCACTAAAACACTGCTTTAAAAATTCAAGTTGCCCACCAGTGTTTTTCCTCTGAAATTCAAGTTTTCATAAACACATTGGCAAAAAAATGCTCACAATCTGAAATCAAACAAGAAAAATATCAGTGGATAATAGTCCTCACAAAATGCTCACATCTTTGCAAGTAATGGATTAGGGAGAAAAGTTTAGAGTTAAATCATGTGGTAAATATACACACAAATTTTGTGTCAGATGTCTCTGGATAAACAAAATTCTTTACTAATTTACATCTCTGTAGTAGTTAATCCAATAAAAAAATAAATCTTATTAAATTTGATCAAACCAAAAACAAATTACAATCAATAGTCATTCATGGGGAAGGAAGGGTCATGGAGGGTGACTGTCAAATACCTTTCTCTTCACTGTCCCGCCTTGATTTTAAGGTTGCTCATCCCAGCATCCACTTTTTCCACACTAGAATTATTTGGTGCAGACTCACAGTCCTTGAGCCACGGGTGTTGCAGGCACTGCTGAGCAGTTGGCCGCTTCTCCGGCGCGAAATCAAGGAGTGGTAAAAGAAACTCTGAAAACTCATGAGCTTCACTCTCTGGAAACTTATATCTATCAATCAACAATTTGCTCAAGGGCCAAAACTTTAGTCTTCGAATCCTTTTGAGATCCCCATGTCTGTCAAAGAAATCCTTGGATTTTGCTCCAGCTGTAGCAATCTGCAACATGCAAGATTAGATTTGCCATAGGCTTAATTGTATGTTTTGCTCGCCACCCCATATTTCATGATTTCTTGAATTTTGCCACAACTTTTAAAATTGCATATTTTGCTACCCAACTACTAAAATTTCACACATTTTGTCATCCTATTAATTAATTGATTGACTTTGTTATTTGACCACTGACATGTTATGTTAACTATTAACGAGACATGCCAATATGACATGCAAATGTTGATGTGGCATAATGTGTTATGTCGACAATTAATGTGCCACATTGGTGGTCAAGTAATTGTATCGGAAGAATGAGTGGCAAAATGTGCAAATTTTGAAGTATGGTGGCAAAATGTAGAATTTCAAAAATTGAGTGACAAAATTCGTAAAATCGTGAAACATGGATGACAAAAAGTGCAATTAAGCCAAAATAATATGTAGAGCCTTTAAGTTTTCTACCTTCCGGGGCATCTTTCCAAGTAGTTCCATCATCAGGGCAAGGTGATCCTGCAACCAACATAGCAATAAGTTTTATTATTCTAACATGCAAGCTGAGGTATAGACTTGTAGTTGTGTTCATCAAGTCAAGGCAATCACAACATGTATCCTTAACCAGTTGCTGGAATAACCAAAGAATAATTATTTTCTACTTTTTGGCTGAATCGAAGAATAATTCCAATACCAGTAGTTTTAATAAAGTGCTTACTAATACATAGAGGAGTTCATAATGCTATGATTCAATAGCTTGTCTACTTGATAAGTCAGTGATGGACAAGCATGAAACTCATAATTTCTTCCAATACCAATTGAAGCTCATTTATGGTATGGGAACCAAAAATACCCATCCATGAATCATGCAGAGCAAATATGCTAGTTCTTCTTTTACCAGAGTTGTTAAATGATTATAAATACATAGAAAATGTAACGTATACATTGATTAATTAATATATGACCATCTACTCATCCATGGATCACACATCATAATTCATTTTGTTTTCAGTCATCAGGAACCAGAAGCAGAAGGAATACAAAATAGTCCAGGGATTTGAGATAGATATTATATGAATTAATCAACACATTGTTCTGATATCAAATGAAAAATGCTTACAATCGCAAAGAATGTGGAAGTATAAAGTGTCAACTTGACATCAAATGGACCGTTAACTCCGCAAGATTCAATGAATTCTGTTATTGAATGTCTAGTATTCATTTCTCTTTATCTGATTAACTCTACTCGCATATTACAGAATAAAGTAATGAACATTGTAGATGCATTTATGATAGTTATTTAAGATAAAAATTAATAACTCAACCCCATTCTTTTAAAAAAAATTATTATCTAATAACATCTATTTTTCAAACAAAATCTTACCACAAGTTTCCTCTAGTTTGGAACACTTGAGATAAGGGTTTTAAATTCTTACAGAAGTTTTTCCTTTCATATCAACATATGAGCATACTATTCTTATTGAAACTCTCAAGATTCATTGCCCAAATTATTAAATAATATAGTTATTCCTTGCATTAATAGCAAGGAAATATAAGGTAAAAAGTCTATAGCTCAACAATTATCAAAAATACTACCATACATTTATAAAAGATAACGAACATAATTTAAATCATAATAGTGTACCAACAAAATCATCATACCTCGTCCTCACTAAAACCTTGTCCAACCTTGGGTGTAAATAACATATCACCGGTGGCAAGCTCAAAAGCGATACAAGCAAAAGACCACATGTCAACGGAAAAGGAATAACCAGCCTGCAATATTACTTCAGGAGCTCTGTACTGTCTTGTCTGAATTTCATCAGCAAACTGCTTATCAGCCCAACATGCATTTCCAAAATCTACCACCTTGCATCTCACATCAATCCCATCAAGATTTCTCTCAGACTTTGGAGCTTCAGTTCCTCCTATTGAAACACCTCTTCCAGATATTTTAGCAACTGCCCTCCTAGCTCTCCTTTTCAACTTTTTCTCAATAAGACTAGTAACTCCACCATTTGTGTTTCCCTCAGGCCTCTCTAATATTGGGGTGACTCCAGATTTAACAGGGTTTTTGGCAGGATCAATGGTAGAAATCAGAAGAACATTTTCCGGTTTTAGGTCTGTGTGGATAATACCATGTTCTCTATGCAAATAATCCAAACCAATCAAAATGCATTTGCAGATCTCCCTAAGTTTATTCATTGGAAGGCCTTTGTACCGGTTATATTTTATTAGACGAAGCAAGCTATCCCCAAGAAACTCAAGCACCATGCAAAGGTGCTGGCCATTAGGACCTGTGTGCTTAAAGTGGTCAATCAACTGGACTACACATTTTGAATTCACATCAACACCATCAGAAATGGATGAAAGAACATCAATTTCATGAAGGGCGGCCTGAACAAACTGGGCTGCACTTTTCTGGATCTTGAGAGCAACATACGCCTGAAAATCCAAATTTAAAATTAGCATATATATATATGTGTGTGTGTGTGTGTGTGTGTGTTTGTGTGTGTCTAAAGATAAATACAGCTGCACAAAAATAATAAGAAATTTATCACTGTCTGAGAGCAAAATCAGTTGGAACACAAGCAGAGACCATTGTGGAAGTTTTTGAATTAAACATAGATACATTAAACATTAGAAGAAAGGATAACAATTGGACCTAGTTCATAGCAAGTGGCAGAGGGATTGTGGCATTGTGAAACACCCCTCCTGGATATACAGACAGTAAATATGATGCTATACACGTTAAGCTTGTTCTTCTTATCTTACCATCTTTTTCTTCTTTCTTGGGCTCCTTTACTTTTCTAAATTTAAGCTTTTAGCCAGACCCCAGAATAAATAAGTAATTCAATGGTAGCAGAAGCTCTGGATCCATGAAGTTGGGAGCTTGTGTATGAAACACTCCCAAGTTAGTCTTAGATTTAACTCCTCTAAAGTGAGGGGTGCACATTATAGAATAAGTTATGAAGTTATAATTATTGATTGGAAAAATCAGCAGTATAAGCACAAATTAACAAACTATGAAATTGTTAAAAACTACAGAACTAATTTGCCCATCAACTTTCACTTTAGAGAAGTCAAAAATGTCAAATTTGCCTTAACATTCAGCTTTGATGAATTTGAACTGAAATTCATAATGACAGTGTTTCCATACGCAGCTCACCTTAAATCATCCAACAAAATTAACACAAAAGACACCGAGTGTTACTGGTAAAAAGGAGGGTTACACACATTAACCAAATCAGCAGCAACAACCAAATAAAAACAAAGAAGCGCTGAGACACATTTACTGTCTCTCTGCAAGCAGAGAAATCTATGTGATCCAGGTGGTCACATTTTATGATGTTTGTCATTCCAACATGAAAGGTCTGTTGAGCATTTCTGACACGTTGAAAAATAAAAATACCAACAAAAGAAGTGGTAGTAGCATGGGAAGAAAGCAACATTGTTCAATTTCAACATTTATACATATAAATCTCAATTTTATCCATTCAATGAAATGATATCCTTAAGCCAGAAACAGACAACACAAGCACACACACAGACATTAGGCAGAATAAACCAACGTTTCAATAATATAAAGAAAGGAAAACCTAACGGGAGAGAGAAAAACACCAGAAAAAGCACATTAAAAAAATTGCACCAGGAAAAAAATATTACAAAAAAAAAGTCCAATTACAATATTTAAACTTACAACCACACACACACACATCCAGAAACACAATGAACCAACAAAAGAAAAACCTTGTAACCCCCCACATCATTCAAAGCAGACAAACAAGAATAAAGAAACACACAAAACCAGCACAGAATCTAACAACCCCACTCCCCCTACAGATTCAAAATGATTGCCATAACAACAACAGCAAAACCTTATCCCACTATGTAGGATCCAATTGCAAGGTACGTGTAACTACTTCTGTTACATTTATTTACAACAATGAGCCCACTCAAAGAAACTACATGTATCAGCTACATGGATCACACCACTCATCTTGGTTAAAAGCTGATTGCCATACCGATTAAAAAAAACAACTTTTCACATCAAAACACAAATCACAGACCAAATCAATCCCAAAAAAACAAAATTTAGGGGCAATTCAAAACAAATAACTCCTTTGGGAGAAAAATGCTGAGAAGAGTAAGATGAAACATACAGATGTTGTAGTATCATAGGCAAGCCAAACGGTGGAAAACTGACCCCAACCAAGTTTCCTCTGCGCTATGTACCTTCCACCGGCGAACTGATCGGCGATTCTGACGGCATGGTACCCTCCTTTCCGGTAAGAGTCGAACCCCTCATCGTCCTCTTCAGACCCAGATGAAGAAGAACACGACATCACCTCTGATCTATTCAAAAACTTCACCTTTTTGCTTCAAACACACACACAGACACACACACTACCAAACGATTATGCTTTGCCACACCCCAAGTTTTTGTTTCTCTTCTTTTTCCTAGTTTTTAAATAAATCCCCTTTTCTTTAAATTGTGACCGAAATTTGAAGCTTTTGTTTCGGAGATGGGAGGGTGTGTGTGTGGCCTTCTCAAATCACGAGACTCTCTCTTCTTCAACAATCCTCCACTTTTTTCTCTCTGCTTTCTCTTTTGCTTCTTGCAACGTTTCTCTGTGTGTTGTGTGGGTCTTGCATTTTCATACGGTCCGTTTTTTTCATTTTTTCATTTTTTTCTCTGTCTTTTTTACTTTTATGCCCTTTGGCTTCTAGTTATTTGATGAATTTTGCAAGAGCATTTTGGGAAGTGGAAAATTTGGATGTTATTTTAGGTGAAGAGGGGTAATCAGGGTCCTGAAAAAGGGTTGTGAGTTGCTGCCCTTTCCTGCGTCACCCATCTGCTTCCTATCTTTATACTTTTGCCCTTTTGCGTGCTTTTTCTTTTTTCCTTGCAGCACCGTGTGGTGGTGGTTCTTCCTCAATGCCTTGTTTTAGGGTGTGGAAATTCAAGACTATAACATCCCAATTTGTCATTACAACACAGTACATTATGTCTTCTTACTTGATGACAACTCAACCTTTGAATGGCAAATCAAGGCTCCTTATCTTAAAGGGGAATAGAGGTGATTTTATAAGAATGATTTGTGTGCCCCCAATTGATGTTGAACACTTGTTGAAAGAGAGAAAAACAAAAGTACATATGATAAGTGATATGATGCTATAAGAATAAGAGAAAAACAAAAATGTGTGTGTTAATCAAGTATTTAAAGAAAATAAGATATTCAAAAATTCTTGTTCTTAATTTTAAAGGTTAAATATAATTTTGATCCTTACAATATATTTATTGAGAAATGTTAATTAAACATTTTCTAAAGAGAAATCAAACACTTTAGTCGATATTTGGTTAGTAAAAACTATATTTAATAAAAATTATGTTATGAACTTTGAGATATTATTTAGACTACATTTAAAGTTTAATTGTCAAAGAATTCTACGAATTTAGCTATTTATTTTCATTTTAGTCTCTAAATATGTTTTCATATTATCACTTAAATTATATTTTTTTTCTTAAATTTTAGATTAATGAGATGGTAGATTTGCACTTTCAAGAACTTATTTAACATTTTCTTTATTTTAGATATAACATCTTTCAACTTCTAGAATTAAAGCAACTATTTAACCTTTTCTAATACACTCCTACTAATATACTACCTCATCATAGCCAAGCCTATACTTGGACTTACTCATCTCATCCTCAATATCATCACCATCATCATCATCAATTAAAATCATCATTCATCATCAATTGTCAACATTCATACACTTATCATTAAACCTTGTTATCTTTTTTCAACATACTCATTGTCTTTCTATTTTTACTCAATTATAGTTATACAATTCTTTATTTATTCACTCTCTCATATCATTCTTCCTCCATTAGACTAATCATGATTACTTACTTTATTATTCTCTTATTTTAATTCTAATAATTACTTCTCACATAGTTCAACAATGACATGGCATTTGGCGATGTAGGACTTAAGCCTAGCGCGGTGAGGTCGGGTCCTCTTTTTCGCTTTCGCACCCGACGTGGTAATGTTTGCGACTTAAAGAGGTTAGGGACCTCTCTGTCTCAATTGTGCATGGCATGATTACTTCCAGGTTTGATGTTGAGAAATTAGAGACTCCTCTAAAACAAATTCATTCGACATGATCTAGGTCATGTTCACACCATCTCTATTTGAAAATTGATCTCATGTGGCACTAGGCAAGACACCCTCGCGTGGTGTAGAGAAGTCAGAGACATCTTTGGCATTCTTGTGCCTGACGTGACTCTCTCCACACCTAGGCAAAGATTGTGTTCATTGTGCCTAATGCCATGAACATGTGCTCGACACTGCTACAAATTTTACACTTCACAAAATCGCAATCCTCACGATTTGGGTTTCCCAAAATCCAAGTGGATACATCTATACATATCTTTGCACAATACAATCGATAAGTTATAGATTATCTTTGTATATTTTTCTATGTATTATTTTTGGTTTATTTGACTTTTATTAGTATCATATTATGTTATATTAGCTTTGATTTGTTCTAGTGAGTCATTTTGGTCTTAGTTGTAAAATTTAGTTAATTTTCATAATTTTTCTATTTTGACGTTGTTTCTTGTGCAAACCATATCTAAAGCTCCCGATATCAGATTTGGATGTTCTTGGTGTCTTTCAAAAGATAAGAGAGATTTCTACAACTTCTCCGTTGAGAAAAAAGGCCATTTTAGACGGTAAGCGCCCCAAAATTTCATTGCAAAGTTGTGGCCTTACATAGTATTTTCTTTTTCTTTTTAGATTGTAATGTTAGGATTTATTTAGTGATATAATTAGTTGATTTAGTAGGTTGGACCTTTAATTAGCCAGATTAGGCCTATTAGTATAGCAGATTGGGCCCATTAGTGTAGTTTATAAATATGTGTAACACATGTACACTTTATATCATATACCTCAATTTTCAGATTTTAGAGTTGCTTTTTCTACAAGTTTTTCTAAAATCTCTCTCTATCTCTCTCCCCCTCTCTTTCTCTTGAATTTTCTCTCTTACTTACATGAATTGGATTGCTACAACATGATTATGATGCATGGTTAGTTCGTTAATCGATTCTAGGTTTCAATAACTATAGTAAAATTTGAGTTCCCGATCTTTTTATCAAACGAATTCTCTATTTTAGGTTTTTCTTTCATTTTTCATAATTGTGAATTTCGTTTTGGATCTAGAACAGAGATTGAAGATTAATTTTATATCTAAATTTATATTTAGATTTAAACCTAAAATAACCTATATTGCCTAATTCAATTGTTCACCATTCTTGAATTTTATTAAAATTATGAGATTGCGATTCTATTTCATGTTTTGATGGGATTCATAGATTTAGATTTAGATCTACATTTTTTTTATTAAGTTCATGTTGAATTTGATTGAGAATTCATATTTAATGTTGAACTATAAAAATTTTACCTTACAGATTGAAACTTGAATGATACTTCTTTGATTGAATTTCTGATTCCTAATTCTTTGTTTGTTAATTGAATACTATTCAAATATTAAAAATATCCTTCGTTACTATGTGATAAAATACAAATTTAATGTGCTTGTGTCTTCGTGAAGAATGACCTAAGTTGTTCTTTCTATTACAAATTTTTCGGGGACATCTAGTTTACTTTTGATAGTTATTCAACAACACTATCAAAATGGTGGCGTTGTCGGGGACACAAGTCATTGTGTTATAATTTTATCACACCTATTGACTGTTTGATTAATTGTTTCTGTATCTACTAACCTTTGTGTTGAGTATTAATGATTTGATTTTTTTTTCCTATTTCTATGTTTGTCTCTGTATTTGTCTGTGTTTTCTTTCCATCTATATTTTGGTCTCTAACATTTTAGGTAGGTTGCTAAAATAGAGGATGAAAGCAAGGGAAACAGAGGACTAGTAGAAATCATAGGAGTAGTAGCAATCAAAGTTGTCTCTATTTTTTGTCTTTAGACCTTAGCTGGAATTTTTATTTCTTGTTACATTAAGGTGAAATTTGGTCTCCAAAGGTAAAACATGATTTTGAGCAAACATACTTCCTTTGAGGGTTATCTAACCTCAAAATTGCCAAATTACTTTATGATGGAAGAACTTTGGAGGAGGCCGGATTGATGTAGCTTATAAATATTTTACATCGGACCTCATAGGGGCTGATGTAAATTGGAATATCTATGTCGGACACAAGCTATATCCGACGTAGATTTTCAAATTTACGTCGGCTCCTATGAGGTCCGACGTAAAAAACTTGATTATAATTACAAAAATGCCACCGTGTTTTTTTAACATTGGATTTTTCTTTGTTCGACGAGAATACAGTGACGTAAATGTCATATTTTGTACTAGTGAGGGATCTATTTATTCGAGGAGTAAGTCTACCTACACTTATTCCGTTTAATAACTCATGTTCTACATCAAATTTCAAAAATTCAATCGTTGAATTTAAAGTTTTTAATGCATAAATCAAATATATAAATTTTTGAAAAAAATTAAAAAATTATTTGATACTTTGTTTTATAAATTGAAAAACCAATTATGAAGGTTTTATGTGAACCCTTTTACCAACATTGAAAATTTTATTCTTTAGCTTATTTACATTGTTACCATATAGATGTGTTGGAGTAATAAGGGTGTCACACCAATTATACTTAAAAAGTTACATTTTTTTTATTAAAATAAATGCATTGCTTCTAAATAATTATTGACTACGTTTAGTTATTTTTATTGTTAGGTGTATTTTTCTTAAAATTAAAATTAATTTTTATCTAATATTAATTATATTAAATACCTTAAAAACTAGGTTAAACAATTGATTAAATATATATATATATATATA